AAGCACTTGAAAAAAACGTTCTGAAATCCTTCCCCTGAAACTAACCCGTCTGTGCGAGCATAGACATTGGAGGAGGCGCCTGACCAAGCAGTCCTTGGCGAGGGCGTTGCTGCTGCGCTTGGAACATTTCCTCCTCAGGTTCGTCATCGTAGTCGTCAACTAATGAAAGTTAATATTAGAGGAGACAACAAGATAAATCTTACAATTGTAAATACTTACAACCACCGCCTCCTGGCTTCGACACATTCCACATACGCTCAAACTGTCTCTGCGCCTTTTTGGGAGGTGGCTGTTTGATCAACGTCTTTTTCGCTCCGATATTTGCGTTGTGCTGAAAGATAACATCACGAATCGAATTGTTGCACCATTCACTTAGGAATTTAAAAGAATAGCTCGAGCAGATGAGGCATCCCAAATTTGACATTTCCTAGAAGCTCTCTAAGCGGCAGAATCTTCTACAAATGTTAGGTGATGAAACAGATTTCTACAACCCTCAGAATGCATGGTATGCTCTACTTCGATACCAATTCTGCTGCAAGCGTTTGATCTGGTGAACACTATTAACCGTGAATAGAACTAGCCCCATATGACAAACCTGATGCCGTGCATTCAAATCCTCTGGCATCAAGAGCATTGTATGGTGGGCAGTAGCTGGATTAGATGTAATGTCACGATTCATTTTCTCAACGACTTCACCATCGAGACCCATTCCTTAAAGTTTCAAAGTTAGGATTCTCTCGCTCAACGGCAATTTAGCAATTGAACACGTCGAAAATGAACGTACTTATGGTAGTTGGTCAAATAGTAATGGAGAAAAACAAAAAAGCTAAGCATCTTTAAACCACCGATGCGCCTTTCACAAATGCTGACGCGATTAGAGACATATGAGGATTCGAAATGATATTCAGCTAGTACTAAGTTCAAGCCTTCTTTTGCCTTCTGATTTTCGCTAATGAAAGATTCGAAATAGAGTGAATTACCAGGAATAACTGGAGCAAGGTATTCCTCGTCGAGACGTACAGATGTGCTTTTGGGCTCGCGTTCCTTATCCAATGCGCCAACCTTCAAATGGTCACATATGTCTCGAAACAATTGTAATGATTGGGTGTTAATGGAACATTACAACAACATTAAAGTGGATGAACATTAACATTAAAGTAGAAGTGGACAATACCAT